CACCACCTGCCCCCCTGCCTCCCACCCCCAGGCCCCACTCAGGCTGAGTCTGTATCCGTCACTTAGCACTTCAGGCAGGGATGGTGTGGCTGGGAGGATGTCGCATCTTATCAGAAATGAGTATCCACAGCAAATCACACAGAGACTAAACAGCACTTAAAAGATTAAAGGAAATAAATACAAGCCACATAAATGGTATTGAAAAAAATCACTTAGAGTTGATATGCATCTCTCGGCAAGCAAACAGGCACTCTGGGCTTGACCTGAATTCATCTTCCTTTCACAGGATAGGAGACCGGCCATCCAAGGCAACAATGGCATAGAAATGAATGTGTGTGTGTCCGTGTGTGTAAGTGTACATATATACCTTTACGCTTTCCATTGTAGAATGGAGTAGGGAGATCTGCACTGATCTATCTCTAACACAAGGTCACTGTCAATATGGGCTGCTTGCAGTAGTCGGATTGTGTTCAAAAAAACCTAGTTTAGCTGTGCAGTGCCAGACTAACGATGTGTGTGTGTTTGCTTGTGCACATGTGTGGGGGTACACAGGCTACAAGTTCAGTTCCTCTCTTTCACACATGTCCTCCGAAGTTTACAATGCAATATCCAAAAAGTTCTTTCATCTAACCTGGCCCACCATGGCTTTCTTCAAGGCCACTGGGTAATATCAGGGTTGTGTCCAATTATAGAATGGATCTGTACTAGTTAAGATCCAGACAGAAGTAATCTTCACTGGTATGTCTGTTGAATTCTTTGCTTCCCCATTTGCCCTGGGCCTATAATAGACAATCCGTTATGGTTAAACAAATGCCCATTATCCTCCCGCCTCCTTGCTAGCTGTTTGCTTCTGTGGGTCTTCAGATGGGAAAACTACAAGCTGGTATCTTGTTGTTAGCCAGTTCCAGGAGACACCTTATTTGGGTAGTAAAATCATGTCTTCTACACAAGGAAACTATTTATTTTCATTGCAATTCAGAGCGACCATCCATCATAATCATACTGCACTTGACAGGGATTTGTTCTCTCAAATGAAACTGTTCAAAGCTTTCCTCCTGCACTCAAGTCCTGGAAATCTGTTCCTTGACAAGATGCGAGAGAATGTGTCCAGCTTTAATATATGAACGTTGTGTAATGGAGTCCATTACGTGTGGCTTAGGTCTCAAAAGAAAAGCAGGGATAATTTCTTCTTCATAAGTAGGATATAAACCATATTTAATTATTATCCTTTATATGGATTCTATCAATTTCTGCACATTTAAAGAAAGCAGATCTAGGAAAACCTTTAGTTAAGCTATAAAATATAATTTTCATTTCATGGCTTCTGTGACTACAGATGAGGAATAAAACTGGAATTAAAAGGGAGACTTAAATTTACTCACTTATGTGAAAGACAAATGTGTTGAAGTAATGGGCCACTACCTCGGGACAATGCATTTATTGGCTTGTATTTAGCCTACTTTTTGGCTAATTGCAAGCACCTCTAACTCCAGCACTTTCACTTACTTGCCTTTGTGCAGAGGGAGCTACGTGAAGATGTGATCCTTTAAAGAACCCTAACTTACCAGCTTCCTTAAAACACAAACAAGCTCAGGAATCTAGCGTGGAATTTTTATAGGCGCTGAATTCCATCCAGTCTCCAAGTACTCATAAAATTCAAGGGCTTGTTTTTGCACATCCCTAAGTATAACACTTAATGTTCTGTTGTAACTTCCCAGTGCTCCCTTGTCTAATAGGCACTGAATCTAACAGTTTTACAATTTGGGAAGACGCACACTAGAAAAATGTCAGGCAAGTCTAATGAGGCTTCAGATCCCCTGGTTTGCGCTGGAGTTTAATTTAAAGTTACAATGATGTTTTAACATGTTTGCTTATACTTGACTAAAGAGGATTCATTATTTCAATGACATAACCTCCAGACAATGTTCCAGGAATTGATTTAAGATGTGGTGGTAATTCCAACAGCCTTAATGCAGAGTTGAACATCTGTAACAACATTTCAGTTGACTTTTCATCAGTATACTGTTTTCAAGCAAAATCAAAGCAACATCTTCCAGAAACACTGGCCAGAATTCTGGGTAACTTCAAAATGATCATGTATTTTACCAGGTTTTTTTTAAGAAAGAAATATCTTCCTTTAGCTTCCTTGCCAGGTTGCAAACATTGTGTCAGGGTTCACCAGTGCCTCTCCGAGTCCTTGGAGTCAAATGGGACAATGATAGCAGCCTTCAGCGTTCCCATTTTCTATGCCTGCATGTGCTGGTCCCAGCAGTCAGCTCCTGCCTGGGGTACATTTCCTCTTCCCTGTCTCCCCATTGAGACCAAGGGGAATGAAGCCCTTTGAGACTTAAAGGTGAGTTTGTTGGCTTGAGTTAAAAAATAGTTCAAAGCAAATAAACTCAGAGAAGTAATAAAAGGCAAACAACCCATAAACATGAGTCAACCGGCTATCTCCATTACGTTATTAATCACCACATCTGGAGAAACCCACATCTGTACACACTTAGCAGGTCATTAGTAATGTCATATTCACACTGGAATCCCTCAGAGTAAGACTCATGCAAAGTGGTTCGAACACAAAGACATCTAGCTAACAGGGCTTCTGACTGAAGTCTGGAGCAAGCTGCTAGCTTGAGGGTGGAGTCGTTTTAAGGATTATTGTTTCTTATGGCTTTTCTGTTTGGTGTTTTGTGGCCCAGCAAGCTAAATGCATGCTAAGATCCACAGTAGTGCGTCTCACTTCTTCAACTAAGCTCAGCACGTTGAAGGGGAACAGGGAGGGGTGCAGGGGAATTATTACAAATGGGGTCAGATCCCAGTCCTCCTTCACCTGGCTCAGTCGCAAGCCGAGAACTGGGGGCTGCATTCTTGAACTCAAATGGGTCTTTGTGATAGCGTGATCTAGCTTCAACCTTGACTGCCAAACAATAAGGAGAAAAGAAAATGGAAATTAATCCTCAGTGAAATTTTTCGTTACGAAAGTTCCAAACCAATTTTAACACTGAATAGAATCATAGCTTTGGATTAAAATAGAGGTTTTTCTCTCTCACAGCTGAATTGCAAAGTTTTTTTTTTTATTATTCTGATGACTTCCTGAAGTTATTTTTGTTGTGTTATTATCATTGATATCTATAGGGATAATATCTAAAAATTCAGAAGACAATCTCCTTCGTGGAATAATTTCAAAAAATATCAGCATTCCCTTCTCCCAGCAACATATATAGATAAAATCCAAAAAAAAAAAAAAAATCCAGTTTGGAGCAGGATCAGATCTGTCAGCTCCTGCAAACTGTTAAAAGGAATCCTACCAAACAAGCATTATATTCCAAGCCATCAAACCTC